CGCGCCTTGCCTTCTGCTGGCTCCAGGAGCGCTCGGCCAGGCCAGCGCGCTACTAGGTGGAGGGGGTGCTCGCAGACCGAGATCCCCCGACCGGGCGCAGGTCCCGCCTGTCCGGCCCTCGCGGAACGGGCTGGCAGAGCAGGTGCTGCCCCCGGAGGGGCGCCCGAGGCCCGCCTCTCCCCGCCTCCGGGGCAGGAGCCCGCGAGCCCCCACCGAGGAGCGTCGGTGCACACAGAGGCTCCCTCAGCGGAAAGGGGGTGTGCCAACCTCCGCCGGTCCCGAGATGCTCCTGGTTCCCCACAGGCGCCTGTCCCTTTCGGAGTCCGGCCGCGGAGAGGGTCGCTTGTAGCCTAGCGAAGACCGTTTCCTTCCTGCTCCGAGGGCTGCTGCTTACCCGTCTTGTATCTTGCAGGTCTGACAGTAGGTTTCTTTCATGCGCGCCATCCCTGGAAATTAAACGGAAGGTGGTATAACGAGAAGGCCAGGTTACGGTTTGGGCCCCAGGACTGCCTTTGGCCGCTCTCACTCGCCTTCCGGCACCCAGTTCCCCAGGACCCCTTTCCCAGCTAGCTCTCTTGAGGTGGAGTCTGAATTTGGCTGAGGGCTGATGAAGGGGTGTGGAGAGGACTTTAGGAGGGCCGCAGCGCTTGAGCGTCCTCCCTCCCTCCCTCCGTCCGTCCGTCCATCCTGCAGCCGGGCAGACCTTCACCCTGAGATGACTGGGCGGAGCCAGGGAGCCCAGACTCAGGCCCCTGCCTCACGGAGCGGGCATCTGGCCTCCATCTGGCCAGAGCCTCTTTCGCTGCCTCCCTGTGGGGAGTAACCACCCAACACATCCTGGGCCTACTGCAAGGCATGAGGCTTTGGGGTTCTTCAGGAGAGGACCAAGAAGGAATGCCCCTTTGGGGCGAGAGTAGGTCCTGTGAAAGTTTTCTTAACGCTTCATCTGAAAAGTATAAATGCTGACAGAGCCACTCAGAAACCCGCATTTTTGTCCTAGGTCACGCTTGCTGCTTTTAAGGGGCCAGACCTTTCCCTAGGGAAAAGAACTGTGCAGCTCTGTTCAAGCGGGATTTGCACTCTGGGGCCTTCTGGGAAGAAGTCCCCCCAACTTCCTGACAGGCGTTGCTTCAGGCTCACCCTGTTGAGTTTGGGACCCTTCTGGCTTCTTTGGCTGAAGGGCCCTTAGAGGCCTGCCCAGGGACTCGCTGATGGCATTGTAGCAGCTTGTGTTTTAGGATGTGGCTCCAGAGAGCATCTGTTAACGTCAATTACAAGATTATTGATCTGCTGTGGAATTAAAAGACCATTGAGAACTAGTCCTGCCAACAAACTGTCTGGGGATTTTTTATGGATTAGCATGTAATAAAATAAGGCACACTTTTGCTGCTTTCTAACAAAGTCAGTGGGGAAGAGAAATATTTTGTGCCAAGCAACTGACATGCACAGAGGACCATGTGGTTAGTCAAGCTCTAGAAAGCTGCTCCCCACTCCCAGGTCACATCTTTTGGCCTGTTCAGGAACGTTTCCTTTCACATCATCCCTCTCCCCGCATTAGTGCAGGAGCTGCCAACTCCCCTTGGGCCCACACCAGTGATCCCAAAGAACTGGGCACACGTCCTTCAGGTTCAAAATGTATCTGATCTGGTTGGATGGCAGGGCTTCTGATGACTCTGCATCTGCACCAACTGTTTGCTTGGAAGGGCCTCAGAGAGTAAGCAGAGCAAAGTAGAGCTTCGAAACACTGGTGAGGGGTGCGTTTACAATGGGCTGGAGTGGGTGGAGGATGACATCATCCGTTCCTGCACTGAAGAAGCAGGTGGTGGTGGCGGCGGCGAGTACTGGTGACGGGCAAGCAGAAGTACAGGTCTGCCTCGGTCTCCAGGACCAGAGCAGCCATAATGCAGAGTCTTGAGGAGCTTCAGAATGTCATCCGAGCTCCCTTCTGCAATCTTTCGGAAATCTTCATGGAGCACAGGTGCTGTGCCAGAGGATTAGAAAAAGGGAAATGCTCTTCCTCTCTTCAGAAAGCGGGGAGAGAATAAAACTATGGGCTCGTCAGCATGAGATTGATCCTCACAAAATTCTGGAACAAATGATTAAGCAGTTGTCTGTGAGCATTTAGAAAATAATACACTGCTTGTCAGGAGCCAGCATAGATTTATCAAGAATAAATCATGCCCAAACAACCTGATCTCCTTTTCTGACAGAGGGACCAATTTAATTGTCAGCAGGAATGTGACAGATGTTGCAACTTCAGCAAAGCAGTCAACTGAACCTCCCATGGAATTCTACTAGGGAATATGACAAAATGTGGGTTGAATTCTGCTACTGTTAGGTGGACAAAGAGCTGATTGAAGAATCATAGTCGGCAAGTGTATGTCAACGACTCCACATCAAGCTGGAGGGAAGTGTTAAGTAGCAGATTTCAGGGCTCTGTTCTAGGCCCTGTGCTGTTCAATATATTTATAAATTATTTGGATAGGGGTTAGGAAATATAATTATCAAATTTGTAAGCAGTACAAAGATGGAGCAATAGAAAATAGCTTCAAGGACCATATCAAGATTCAGGAGGATCTTGGCAAGCTGGAACTTTGAGCAGAATTCAGCTAGACAAATTTCAAAAGGACCATATGCAAACTCTTACATTTGAGTAGGAAAAAATGGCATGAATATAGGATGGAAGAAGTCCATAGGTCAAGCCTTCCTTGATTTTTCAGTAGCCTTCCGTACCATCAGTCATCCTGTCCTTTTGGACCAGCTCAGAGGTATGCGCATGTGGGGTTTTTTGCTGGCCTTTTTCCTTCTTCCAAGTCTGGTTCTAGTCAGTGTTGGTAGCGGGGAGAGGTCTGGCCCTAGGCCTCTGCTTTCTAGGGTGCTGCAAGACTCAACTCTTTCCCTAGTCTTGTTTAACATCCACACAAAGCCACTGGGTGAGGTAATCTGTTGGCTCAGAGTTAAGTGCCATCAGTTTGCTGATGATACTCAGCCATTCATGTCTGCCCAAGCTGACCACGGTTCTTTCCCAGTGCTTGGATGTGGTGGGGGCCTGTATGGTTTTTGACTCAACCTTAGCAGAACTCAGTAGCTGTGGGGTTCAGCACCCCAGATCTGGAGGTTTTCCATCTATGACTTTGGGTGGAGTAGCACTCCCCCAAACAGAGTTGGTGTGCACTTTGGGATCCCTCTTGGATTCGTGGCTCCTGCTTGAGGAGCAGGTGGTAGCCATGGCCAGGAGGGCCTTTGCACAAATCCATCTTGGGTGCCAGTTGCACCTGTTCCTAGATCGGGAGGTGCTTCGTGTGATTGCTCGTGTCTTAGCCTCTTTGCAGTACGACTGTTGCAATGTGCTCTACGTGGGGCTGGCTTTGAAGAACTTTCACAAACTGCAACTGGTCCAGAATGCAGGAACACAGTTTTGTGCGCAGTCCAGTACATCCACCACGGTATGGAACATCACTGCTACATGAGACTTTTGGATGTAATTCAAGGTGCTGTTTGTTGCATTTAAAGCCTTGCATGACACAGAGCCAGATTACTTGTGGAACCACCTATCTTTCAGCTCATCCCACTACATGAGGATGTACTCTGGGTCCCTTCTGTGAAATAATATCCCCTAGTAGAACCTAGGAGAGATGTTTTCTTTGTCACGGTGCCTGCCCTATGGGTGGCCCCAACCCTGCTGGCCTTCCAGAAGGCTGTGAAGACCTCCCTCAAGCACTGGGGGCCAGGATGTTAGTGGAGTCTGGCATATGTATCTTGTTTTATGCTGTCAGGCAACCTGTAAGGACCCTTAATTATATTTCTTTTAAACTGGTTGTTTGCGTGGGGTTTTATATGCTGTGTTTTTATCTATGTTTTGTTGTTTGCCTGGAGTTAGTCGCCCTCAGTTAAGATGAGAGGCTGTATAAATTTGCTAAGCAAACGAATAAATCACTAAATGGTGTTACCTGTGTCCCTGGCCCACAGACAAGGAAGAATGGAATGTTGTATCTTACAACATGATGAAAGGGAAAACTATTAATTTAGCAAGACCAACTTTCTGAAACTCAGATTTCTTTACTTTTACAGTATAACTGTTGCCTGATGTGCAGCTGTAATAGAGAAAACGTCAAGCGTAAGTGTGAGCTCACAAATGCTAGTTTTGAGTTAGCAGGCCAGAACTTGCTTTCTTCTGCAAAGCATATACCAGTGTAAGATGGAAATGAGTGGTATAGTTTGATTTTTTCCCCTAGAAACACAGCTGAAATGCAATTCATGTGTGTCTGTCTAGAGAGAGAGAACCCTACTACAAATTCTGTTTTCACATATTTCAGCACAAGGACCTTCTTTCCTGAGCTGGGTCTATACGGCATGATGAAGTTTCCAAGAAAGAACTGAGGAAAATTCTCTTGCAATTTCTTTCCTTAGCCAGATCCCCAAACAACTTTGGTCCCATTTCGCTCTATGGGAAGCTGGGTTCTGCTTCCTACAGCTCAAGCATAATTTCTGTAGATGTGAATGAGTGGATTGGTCACTTGTCTGCATCACAGTAACCGTTTTTCTTGCTTTCCAGGGGTGCCTAGTCTGGATCTTGACTGGAAAGAATGTCTCTCATTGATCCAGAAGCATTTGATGACTGGATACCTTTAATTTCTGACCTGATCGTTTTAAAGTATCCCCTGCCTAGCTGCTCAGACATGGGTTGAGAAGAGTCAAAGCAGGTCCTGCTGCTGGCTGGTTTGGTGAGAGACTGAGTCACTGGTGCGTTGGAACAGTCCAGTGAAGGTCTGCCACTTTTCTTTCAGTAGAGATCTGCTTGGAACAGACCATAGTCATGCATACAAAAACTCAACCCAGGCCTAGGTGAAGTCACATGGAATTGCCCAAATGGTATATTTTTTATTACATGCAGAAGTCTATGTAAAAACTGGGAGGTTAGCATGTTGCAAAACAAAGCATCAGTATTTACTTCCTTTCTGCCCTAAAATATCCCCATAAGCTTCCTTAGAATATAATTTGCTCCCTGCAGCTGTTTTATAAGAGCATCCCCAACATATTCTCAAATATTTGTGACAGGGATTCCTTGAATGTACCATTGGATGCTTTTGCAAGCTTCCCTTCCCCACCTTTCTGTCAGATTGGAGGCTGGAGGTATCCATTGGAGAAACTCCAAGACATATCCTTGGCAGAAGGCAAATTGCCTGGTCACCCACCAGAAGAACCATGTCTCCCTGCCTTGCCCAGCCAGTGGATGTTAAAGGACTGGTAAGTGACCCAGGAGATGGCCAGGGCCACTGCCTGGGGGGGTGAACTTTGGGAACCTGTGTATTCTCTAGATTCTTCTTTATGATTCTGCTAAGGGATGTCTCCTCCTCCTCTTCCTCCATGGTGCTGCCTGAATGCTTCTAGGGCATCAAATTCTGTTTAGCAATTCTGACCCCTCCTTGCAAAACCCATTCCCTTCTCTTTGCACAAATCATTTTTTCATTTGTCTCTCTTTGGTTTCTTCCTTCCAGTCTAGACTAGTGCCAAGATTTTTAATTTTTGCCTTCTGCTCGCTGGGTTGATTCTCCCTGAATTAATTATGACATGAAGGACTTTACTCCTAGCAGAGGCACAAGTAATGAGTCAAAACCAGTAGCTAGAAATAACATTTCATTCCCCACAATCCAAAATTAAGCCTGATAGTAAAATAAGCCTTACTTGTGGGGAGGGGGAAAGTGAAAATCCCTTGCAAGCAGAGGTTGAAGAAACCCCAGCATCTGCAGCCCCCAGCAAGGACACGGGTCAAACTTTGCTTCAAAAAGCTAATGTCCGAGCGCCCCCCTGTGGAGTTTTGGAGAACTGTGATTTCAGGAGGTTTCTTTGGAAAATCAGGTATCTTGGCCTAGGGGAGCTTTCTGTATTTTAAAGCAGCCAGGGGTCCAAAAAGAGCCCCCCGGGGTCACATGCAGCTCATTAGCCTTTGTTCTGAGGCCCTTGGTACCTCCACCATGGGGGGAGGAGCAACTGATGGATTTAAGGAGCAAAATGGGAACCTCCCACATGCTTGAGACACCTATTTCACCTCTTAAAATGCCTGAACTTTCTTCCAAAGTTGGCCCTGCCTGCATGAAGGCTGTTGCAACTCTAGAGCCCTCAGAAGCTCTGAAGCCTCATCAAGGCAAGAAAGGTCTGGATAATCTGTTTGAAGGACCACAAAGACACTCCTCTCTTTACTTTTTCTAGAAGAAAGTCACCTTTTCCCAAATCTCTTAAATTTTGGGAACAAGTTCAGAAGGACAAATCTGTTACAAAGGAAGCAAGCAAGCAAGCTAGCTAGCTATTTAGAACAGGCTAACGTAGGAAAAAGAGACCCTTTGAGAGAACAATGGAGTGCAGAGGGACTTACACGGATTCCCAGTCCTTCTACACCATCTGGGAGCAAACTGGCCCCTTGACAGCCAAGCATTTGGTGCAGAACTGATGCCAAAGTGGCTTCCTCTAGGATGAATTCAGAGTCCAGGGCCTCACCCATGGAGAGTGACTCTGCGAGAGCTGCACTCCCTACTAGCTGCCTGACTGCAGCAACTTTGTGCCAACTTTTGACTGCTTCTACCAAGGAGGCCCATCCTTCTCGGCTGCACCAGCAGGACCGCCCTTGTGCCCTGAAAGCAAAGAGGCTGATGCTCAAAATGTCTTCAGGGTCACTGAAAGGAACCTGTTTAAAGGCAGGAGTGGGAATTTTGAGCACTTGGGCAATCTCTGATGAAATCTGGTTCTTTCCAGACTTGGCAGCTGCATCTCCGCAACAGCCCAAGCAGAGGGATCTGGAGGGGTGGCGTTGGCAATTTCTGCAGAGTCAAGGTATCTTCTCCGTCCACCCTATCCTAGCTCTAGGAGCACCACTGGATGGGGAAGAAGGAGGTAGAAAGAGAAATATTTGGATGTAAATATTGTGGGTCTGATTTTATCCTTCCTCAGATGTAACTTGATGCCCAAAGAGTGCATCTGGTAGCTTTGTAAATATAAAGCAACAGGTCTCACATAAAAGATGTGGTCAGATCCCCTAATAGGTCATTAAAAGCAGAGAGAAAATGTAAAATGGAGAACTCCTGTGGAAAAAGAGCTTCTCTGTTAAAGTTTATGCTCCCGTATGAGGGAAGTGGCTTTGATTTTCCTTGTTCATTGGCCATATTTCTCAACTTCAGTAAGATATTGAAATGAAAATAATCTTGTCTATTTACCACTGTGGGTTCAGCTTAAGAGCTATTGTTTTGTACATTTGAGCTCCTGGCAAGTTTTGCTTCTAACTGTAAAAGGAATTCCTATTTAAAAATGGCTTGTAGAACTTTGTGGGGGTGGGGTGAAAATAAGATTATTACTCTTACTTGACTAATAAGTCATGATATCTTTAAAACTTCTGAAACTTTACCAGAGGAATATAGCTTACCCAAAAGGGCTGTATATAGAAGCCCCCACAGCCTTTGAAATTCCAAAGGCATTGAATAGATTGCAGAAAGCCTGCCTATTACCACCATATCATAAATTTTAAAAAGTTACAAAAACAAATTTTAATAATATAAACGAAATTGGAATAGAAAATTGGCCCCAGACCATGAGAACCGCCGGGGTTCTCTAAAAGGCCCTGGGACAAGACTTCCGGCCTCCTCCTCGGTGTGCCCTTCAAGTCGCTGCATTTGCGCCAGAGGCAGAAGCCAACGGAACTAGCAGCCACGTCTGCTAAAAGCCTGTGCTGGGACAGCATCTGCTGAGGGGCTGGGAACGCTCCCTTTGTGTCTTGCCAGCAGTAATGTCAGAGTCTGTGTCATTCTGTAATGTGACTTCTTTTCGAGAAGTTACTCTTTCGGGATCAATGTGAGGTACTCAAATGAGCTTCTGGCCAGGAGCAGGGGTTATGCAATCTTCTCTGGATGTTTCCAAAACAAGGAAAATATTAATATGAAGCAAACATTTTCCTCAGTATTTCATCACGTCGATGGCAGGATGTACCCGTTGTTTTTGATACGTCTTCCAGATAGAATTTCAGCCATTTCACACTTTAGCGATCAGACATCTGGCAACAATATTGTCAGCCACAAGTGGTGTTCTTTAGCCCAAGTAGAACTGGCCCAGTTAGTAACAGAAGATGGACGCTGTAGGGGAATTGTGAGTAGGCTAGACTGGGGAACTGAAGAAACAGCCTGACGCAAGACAGTAGCAAGCCACTTCCATATCACTTCAAAGAAAGGAACAGGGACCCACCAGCAGCCAAACCTGACTTTAGGGAAAGTTTACCTTTCTCTTACAGAAAAGTGTAATATCCTTGGACCATCTTCAATTGACTGAAAATCTCTCCCTGCCAAAGAATCAACATGGCTGCTAAAGACAACTGTTTTAAAGTACTTTAAGACTATACTGAGGTGATCTAGAAGAAATTGACCTGCAGTTTGCCCCCCCCCCAAAAAAGAATCAAATGACTGTCGAGACAGAAAATACCCAGGCCTCTGTTCCATTGAGAGGCATCTGCCCTGCTGCCTAAGTGACTGTCCAGCGCTACGACTTCCCGTCTGCAGGCTGTGTCCTGGCACCCTCCCGGGGCTGTGCTGCAGAGGAAGAGGAACAGAAGCCAGTAGAGACGAGTTTTTACCAGGTGAGCCAGGACCGGTTCTAACCTTAGCAGCTCCCAGCCCACGTCAGAACTGTCATCGGAAACGTGACCGCAGGCAGAGGAGGAAGGAGCCGTGCCCAAGGACATCTGCTGAGCAGAAGAGAGCGCGTTCCACAGCAAAGCTTAAGGAAGCGCCTTGACAGGATCACCAGGGCCCCACTTTCAGGGGGAAAAACTTCAGGCTGGTGAGTAGAGGGCTAAAGGAAAATGAAGGATCCCTCCTTCCTCATCTAGCCCCACATAACCTCCTGGATCCAGAGTTCCCATCAGCCCAGAGAGAGTCACTGGATCGCCCCAGGTCAGGACAGGAAAAAAGGATGGAAACTGCCACAGGGGCTCCTGGGTTTGTGTGTGTGCGTGTGCCTGCGTGTGTGTGTGTATGAGGAAAGCCTAGATGCTGATCTGAGCATGGTCCCCCAGCCCCTGGGTCTGCCTGGGCTATTCTGGGAGGGCAAAGGGGAAATGCAGGGGACGTGCCCATGTCATTTCAGTCAGGGCCAGGAGTCTTCCAGGGTTTCTCCTTTTCCTTAGCCTGGCCTTCTGATTCAGTCAGTCTTCCCATATTTTCCTAGGTAACTGTAAAAAAGACAGTTTGTCAAGAAATGTCTATATTATTGGGTTTGGGGAAAAGGGGCTCTCGTTTCCTGCTGCTTCTAGTGTGGGCTCCTGGGTGCCGGTTCCATGGCACGACACGGGTACTCAAGATCCACTAAGCAGACATTGACTCTCCTTCAGATTGATTCTCTAGAGGAGGAATGAGTCTAGGGGGGCTGGCACCAGCTTGCCAGCCTGCCTGTCTTTCAACAATGTCAGTGTTATTCTAGGTGTACTGGGTAATCCCAACATTCAAACTGGTTTTAGGTTTGACCAGTAGCTTGAATATTGATTGGCAACTGATTGATCTCTGTGTGGCTGCCAACATCACTGTCTCGGCTTTGGCTAAATGCCCGGAAGACAGAGAGCAGCAGGGCTCTGCTTGTATGGTGTCTGTGTGTCGTGAGAGGTGAAGCTTTCCTCAGCTTGTGGGGGAAATACACAAAAACATTAAAGAATTGGAACTGCAAAGTGCCAGTAGCAGAGCAAGAACCGGCGGTGCCCCCCTCTCCTCTAGAGCAGAGAGATACGTTAGAAGAAGGATGACTTTGTTTTCCCGTCCTGATGGCCAATACTCTTGTGTACTCTTTCAACAGGAGTAGGTGCTTCTGTGTAGCGGAAACCAAAACAGAACTGTAACGTCAAGGCAGCGGGCTGGGCACAAAGTGAATTCAAGGTCGCAGGAAGGGGGACTGTCCCATTAACCCGCTTCCGGCCTTGGCTTTTGATCTCAGAGCGTTCCACCGACGCCAACGCCGGCCTGGGTCTGGCTTGCGCTCAGCTTCGTAGCTTGTCTTTTTCAGAGCTGCCCGGTCACGCTTCAGCTCCTGCCATGCAGGAGAGGTGAACCTTCCTCTTTAGGCAGTCGTTGGTGCCCTGGTGCTGCAGGGTGTGTTTTTAATTGGACTGACTGAGGCAGCTCTTTTCTGTGCTTTAAGGCTGCTGTGCCCTGCCCAGAATCTCAGGGTTGGGCAATGTGAAAATGCAGTGAGCAAACAGGTCGCCCCTTCCTTCGTGAACGGAGGGCAGGTAATTGGCACACCTTCTCCCAACTCTGATTTGGCCGTCACCTTTAGAGCAAACTTTACTTCAGAGTTAGACTGGGGTTTCATGGCAGACACCATTTGGGCTGTGCAGCCTTCACTGGCCAGTCCCCCTCCTGTGTGATTTCACGGCAACACCTAGATGTGCAGACTCCCTCTGGAAGCCACCTTTATATTCTCTCAAAGTACCTGAGCAGAACTGCAAAAGAAATTCCTGACAGTGAAACCTATTTTTTCAACCAGTTCTTCTTTTTAAATGGTTTAAAACAAACCACCCCAGGACAGCACATATCAATAACCTGAGAACTACAACTAAAAAAGGGGGGGGGGTTATAATAGTCGGCAAAAGTCTCCCCACGTTTGTCTTTTGAACAAAGCATTTTGTGTGCAAAGTCCTTGAGTCAGTTCTGTGGGGCCAAACTCCTGTGCCCATCCAGACCCTGAACCGAAACAGAGGGCCCCCGTTTGCCAGGCCAGGAGCAATGTAAACTATTGTAATTAACAATGTGTCCCTGAAAGACATGAGAAGACCAATTGAAAATTCTACCAAGACAGAGCGTTTTGGTTAAATCATTGCTCTATTGACTGATGAAGAAAATAATTATTGCGAAGAAACCCAGAGAAAAACCGTTTCCCTCTGAGGTGGTTTCTGAAGCGTCTGTGCTCCGAGCAGCACTGGGATCAGCCGCCGGAGAGGCTGTTGCTCCTCACGATGGTGCGGAGTGAAGTCGGCCGTCCCTTTCTGAGGCACAAGCTGTGGCCTGGCCTGGCCTGGCCTGGCCTGGCCTCCAGATCCCAGCAACGAGGCGCCAGGGGCA